ATCAACAAGCAAAATACATGATATTCCTTATTGATGAATAGGGATCCTTTTTTATGGATCCTCATTGGTATGTTAAGGCATGTTCAAACGGATGGTGATGAGATAATTCATCTTGCCTGTTGATGTGGACTAATAATAAACGAATGTACATGTCATCTTTATTATAAAATTAGAAAAAAATAAATACATATTTAATTTGATAATTAAAGAGGAAGTGTCAATTTGTTATTGTTCAGCATCAACGGGTAGTAGGATGAAGTACAACCTCACCCTTTAAGGACCCAAATATATGTATTCCATCATATTTGTCAGGAGTCTTCATGCCAAGACCATTCCCATCAAAACAAGAGGTTCCTTCTAAGGCCGACCTTGACAAGGCCGATCGACCTCACCAAATTCTGTTAAATCAACATATACTCTATGTTGTATAAGATAGACATAACAAGAGACCAGAAAAGAGACCCAAATTCAGCGACTCATCCTTTTTTTTCAAATCTATTGCAGCTAGAAACAACAGGAGAAGATTATCTCTTTGGACAATCCAGCTGGTGGACTCATTGAAGGTGAATGCCATGTTAAAGAAGCCATCCTTAACCACTTCACAGCCCTTCTTGGTACAAACCCACATCTCTATCCTGGTAGAAATTGTTTGATTCAATACATTACTAAGTCAGTACCAGATTACCTCACTGAGCAGCTTACTGCTTTGCCTACATATGCTGAAATTCAACACTGCTTCCTCTCGCTCAACAAAGAGAAAGCCCCAGGCCCAGATGGTTTTAATGCCTTCTTTTACCACAAAGCTTGGGCTATTATTGGGGATGATATCATTAAAGCCATTCAAGAGTTCTTTACTAATGGCAAATTACTTCAAGAGTTAAATTGTTCATACATTTCATTGGTTCCAAAGACCCCAAACCCTTCTTCACTTCATGACTTCAGACCCATTTCATGTTGTAACACAATCTATAAATGCATTTCTAGACTCCTAGTTCTCAAATTAAAGCCAGTTCTTCCCATCCTTATTGATCCCAGTCAAGTAGCCTATGTCCAAGGGAGAGCTATCAGTGATAATGTACTTTTGCTCAGGAGCTAATGCATGGATATCACCTAGCCTCATCCACCATTTCACCTAGATGTGCTATCAAGATTGACCTTCAGAAGGCATTTGACTCAGTGAATTGGGAGTTTCTGCTTGACACACTCACCCTTTTCAACTTCCCACAACAACTTATTCATTGGATCAGGGCCTGCATTACATCTCCATCTTTTACTGTCTCTGTCAATGGAGAATTTACTGGTTTATTCAAAGGTGCTAGGGGGTTGCGACAAGGAGATCCTCTGTCCCCCTTCTTGTTCACAATTGTTATGGAGGTTCTATCATTAATCATTTCTTCAGTCACATCACAGTCTCAATCATTCAAGTTCCATTGGAGGTGTAAAAAGAGAGCCATCACTCATCTTATTTTTGCAGATGACATCTTACTTTTCTCTCATGGAAGCTTACAGTCAGTGAGTATACTACACAATGCACTTCTCATCTTCTCAACTATCTCAGGCCTCAACATCAACAAATCTAAGAGCTCCATCTTTTTCTGTGGTGTGGATCAAGCTACCCAAATTTCAATTTCTAACTTAACTGGGATAGGAATTGGATCTCTCCCAATTAGGTACCTTGGTGTACCCCTCATTACCACAAGACTTAAAGCCCATGACTGTAAAGCTCTGGTTGATAAGATTTCAAGCAGAATGAATCACTGGACAAGCAAGGCAATTTCTTATGCAGGTAGAATTCAACTCATACAATCCATCATTACTAGCATGCAGATGTATTGGGCTGGTATGTTTATATTGCCCAAGGCTGTGATCCATGAAATTAATAGGTTATGCAGGAACTACCTATGGTCTGGTAATGGTCTTAATAGCAAAAAAGCAAAGGTAACCTGGCTCCATGTTTGCAGACCTAAAGGGTTGGGTGGCCTTGGCATCCCAAATGTTGAACTCATCAATAGGGCTTCTATGATGAGACATCTATGGAAAATCATCACTGATTGCAAAGATAGTTCTTGGGCTCAGTGGATTATTGATCACCAACTAAAGGACAAATGCTTTTGGGAACTGAATATTCCTCAAAAGTGCTCCTACAATTGGAGATCCCTACTGCAACTTAGGCCTGCTTTTGTGAGATTGATCAAAGTAAATATTGGGAATGGGGAGAGAATTACCTTCTGGCATCACAATTGGTTAGAGGACAGCCCTCTTTGCAGCAGATTCTCCCATGCTCAAATCGACACTTCTGGAATCCCTCTCAATGCTAGACTGAATGGCTACATGTCAGCGCATACATGGAACTTCCCAAGCAACATAATTTCACTTCTACCAAGCCTCCAACACATTCCCCTTGCTGGTTCAGGTATTGATTCATTCACCTGGAGGCCATCATCAACAGGCAAGTACTCTCTCAAGCACACAATTGAAGCTCTAGCTCTACCTGCTCCACCTGCCCCATGGTATCAGCTGGTATGGAATTCACTGTCAATCCCAAGACATAGAGTCATCCTGTGGCTAGCAGTTCTAAACAAACTTCCCACACTTGATAATCAATCTATGGCATACAAGCACATCCCGAACCACTGCACACTATGCCTCTCCTCTGGAGAATCCTTGAATCACATCTTCTTCTCATGCTCATACACCGCTCCAATTTAATCCCACTTGCAAAATACATGTGGATTTTACACAAGATCTCAGTGGAATGATTTCATTTTTTGGGCTTCACATCACTGGTCATCAAAGAGCATTGCAAATTCTATTAATAAATTGGCACTTTCAGCATCCATTTATCATATCTGGGTTGAGAGGAATTCAAGAATCTTCAAGGACATATCAAGCAATCAAAACACTGTCCTATTGAAAATCACTAATTCCATCAGAGAAAGACTCTTGCCCTTGTCACTCAAGGATGGGGTGGCTGCTCGGCGTGCCCGTCAGGTTTGGGATCTTTCCTCTTCCTTCATCCGTCCTCCTCCTCGTCCTCCGGATGAGCCTCCATTGCAGCCGTGAGGCTGCTTGTTGCCAGACATGGCTTGTCCCGCCGGAGATGGTGATTGCTGAGCAACTTGCAGTTACAACTTAAAGTTGTTTGGCTTCAGGGTTTTGGGCCTCTTGGTCTCTTGGACTTGTTGGGGTTGGTTGGTTGATTTTGGGTTGGACCTTTTCATGGTCTTGTATCTTTTCTTTTCCCTTCTTGGGCCTGTTCTGTACATCCTTTTCATTAATAAATTGCTTAACTTTTCGAAAAAAAAAACAAAAGAGTCCCAAATTGTTATCCCACGCTACAATTTGGGTGTCCCATCAATGTTAGCTTTCACCATTGTCCACATGTAAGCAATTGCCAGTTATCAACATATTTCATCAGCTTCACCTTACTGATATGAAAATTCTTCAACTCGATCCAAGTATTAGAGTTGATAGCCTAATTTGCACTAATCAGTGGGTGGTTCCACCTGCTTTGCAACACTTACAGTTCTTCCACTCCAATGTGTACACAGCCCAACAGCATGACATTCCCACACCCACATCAGAGAATGACAGATTGTTTATACCAGGCCCTACAAACCAGTTTTCCCTCTCCCATACAATCAAATACCTGACTCCACCATCAATTATATTCACTTGGTCTCACCTACTTTGGTACAAGATCAACATTCCAAAGCATAGTTGTATTAATTACCTGGCTTGCATGCATGTAGGGGCAGATTGTTTACATTGGACTCTAAGCCAATGAGGAAGAAACACTACACAAATGCATATTAGCCATGCCTCTCTGATTGTGAGTCACTGGATCATCTATTCTTCAATTGCAGTTTTAGTGCACATATACGGAGGTTCATTCAACATGTTGCAGGATTTTATGTTGTGCCCAATAGTTGGAAGGAGTTAATCACTTGGTGCTCTATTACATGGAATTCAGGACAGTTCAATATTCACAAGCTCCTCTTCAATGCTGCAGTTTACTTCATATGGCTGGAAAGAAATGCTAGCTATAGAGCATTTAGGAACAGAGCTGCATCACCACAACATATCATTTGTCACACCAAGGGTTGTATTAGAGCTAAGCTTTCATCACTGAAGTTAAGAAGAGGTGCTGAGCTTAGGCTTATGGGTGAGCAGGAGGATTTGTTGCAGTTATTCTTGCAGGGATGTGCCTTCGCAGGGAACCAGACTTGGTGTGCAACCACATTCTCATGATCTTTATGAGTTGGATGCACCAGGCAACAAGGTTAGATGTTTTCTGGATTCGAATTTGGCTTTGCCTAGTCATGCTAGGATAGGTTAGACTGGAAGGTCAGAGAGTTATTTCATGTGTATACTTTGTGGTTGGCTCGTGCATGTATATGTTGGGTTTGGCCTTGTGCTTGTTTGTTTGCCTTTATGTGGGCTTCTACATTGTACATTCTTCTTTCATTTTTCTTTATAAAGCCTACCTTTTAACCCAAAAAAAAAACATATTTCATCAGAGTCTTCTGAGTTAGGGTTGAAGTGAACAAATGTGTCACTGCCCTCCACAATTGCTTAAGTTAGATATACAAGGCTAAGCTAACAGGACTCTCGTGACCATAGACATCAAGAATATTTGGTTAGCTCGGCTGAACCCAACTCAGCTACAAATTTAAACTCGCCAGTCCTGACACGCAGCACTCATAATTAAATTACAAGCGTACCTCTGAGGCATACTTTGAGCCAAACACAAACCTTGAAAAACTTAGTTTAATATTAGATAATTAAATTAGTTAATGCAATAAGTAACCAAACTTTGAATATTTGCATATGTATCCAAATTGATTACAAGAAAGACTAGTTTTTAATCTTTATAAATTTCATACAAAATAGAGACTATGTAGCATATTTGTGATTATTAAACAATCATATGCTTTAGAGCTCAACTTCCATCCCACCACACCAAAAGTTCATTCCATGCATGGCTACCCATTCTAAACCTTTGACAAATCATTGGCTAAGTAGTAGTAGCACTTCCTAAATCACTACACCTTTTGTCTATCCTCAAATGAGTCATCTCTTCTTCTCTTGCCCATTCGTCCACCAAACCCTATGCTGATTCTACAATTAAGCAGCAAAAGAGAGATCACAGACACCTTGAAAAAGACAAAAAAAAAAAAAAAAAAAAAAAAAAAATAAGACTACTAAAAAAATGAAACTTAGAGCTTGAGAGACAAGTCTAGCTTTTTCAACTTATCCTGTTTAGTCTTCAAACCACCACCATCTCCCCGCCAATTGCCACCAATTTCTTCATCTGATAGAGAACTCATCACCCTGCTCTTGGTATTGAATATACCAACACCAGCTTGAGACGAGGGTCCGGTCAACACAGTGGCCGGATAAGTACTCTCCGCGGCTAGGTTCCCAATCACCGGTTGTTGGTGCATAGGCAGCCTTGACCATCCACCATGTCCATACACACTTCTCGCCCCAAAAGAATTTGGTATGTGAGGTGGCTTATGGATCATAGAGTGAACCTGAATTCCAAGAGGGAGTGAAGCCATACAAGAATAATGGCCATGCTCATGGTTTTGTTGTCCACTTTTCGCCATAGACCTCTCTTTCTTGTGGGCATTTTGGTGTCCTCCAAGTGATTGTGCACTATGGAATTTCCTTTGGCAATAGTTGCATGAGAAAACTCGCGGCCCGGGATAGGATAATTGGGGAGTTTCTGTTGAATTTTGAGGTGAACCATTGTTGAGGCAATCAATGAGGTTGAGTTCTGGATTGAACATATGATCATTAATGGAGTCCATGCTACATAGATTGAGATCCATCTCTTTTCTCTCTTCTTCTTCTTCTTGTTTGTTTGCCTTTGGGCTCTGCAATGAGGTCTCTGGACATGGTTCTTTCCCTAGTAGGGGTTCCATTGGACAGTATATATTAAAACAAAATTTTGGAGAGAGAGAGAGAGTAGTATATTTGTTTGTGACTCGAAACTCCACACTTAATAGTATGGCTTTAACTATGCATATTCATTGAGGAGTTGATTATATAAAGAAACATAAAACAATGGATTCACTATATATGGAGTGGTGTGCGCGTCAATCAAAAAGATTAAAGGATTAACTTGCATGTGCATGGTTTTTGCTATTTTAGGTCCAAAAGTCCCTCATAGCTTTTGTCCTATAGTTGTCTCATTGCATGTTGATATATCCACTCTCTTGAATTTCAGGACACTAGTTGGTGGTCCATACCAACACCTGAATGCCACGTGTTTATTGTGTCAACAGATTGAATGTCACCATCATTTTTTTATTTTATTTTTATTTTTAATTTTTTTAATTTTTGAGATCTTTGAGAATATAATTGAAGTGTGAAAAGTGTAATGATCAGCTATGAGTACATGTTTTCCATGATATATATATGAAGTCTATTAAAAAAACTTGTTTAATATTAACAATCAGTTTTTAATTTTATATCAGAGCCTAGGCGAAAGAGATGATGAATTATGAATGTCTAGCAAATGATATTGAAAGGTTATTACTTGATACATTATGTTGGTGTCAAACCTAGAAACACTTGTTTAATATTAGCTAGACTAAATTAATGGGAGTGACCAAACTTTGGATATTTGCATATGTCAAAACAAATTGATAATAAAGTATGATCGAAATTAAAAAAAAAAAACAAAAAATCTAATCAGTGAAGTAAAGAGAACTGTAAGAACAGAAAATTATTTCATGAAAAACATAGGTAATAAAAATATGAACCAGTAATTCTTAAAGGTACTGAAAGATGCTATAGAAGAGCTATAGCAAGGTTGACATAGAGAACTCACAAGATAAAGCATCAACAAGCAAAATTCAGATAATATTCTTTATTAGACATGTTCAAATGAATATGTGTTTGTACACACGAAATTCTCGAAAAGCTGATAAAAAAAAAAATATTCTCGAAAAGACTGAACTTTTTACCTTTCACATGCATTAATCAAATAAAATTAAAATATATTGATTTTGACTATGTAATAATTAAACATGAATAAATCATGAATTGGGCTCAAATTGTTTAGATTACTCTAATATACAAATATGTGACTATTTTAATAGATGCTCAATATTGGCTCAATTAATCCTGCACTGTATTTAACAAAGCTAAATTTTAATTCTTTCCACACAAGAAAAGGAAAGATTAATAGATAGGAAGATATAATAATATTTCTCTTATGTTGCGTTTGATGTGTAGGAATGAAATAGAATGTAAGTGGAAATGGAATGAAATGATTATTCTTATTCTATTGTTTGGTTGCAAATCTAAAATATGTAAGAATGAAATAATAATAATCATTCTAAATTTGGTTTGATCAATTTAAAATTTAAAATGAAATGAATTTCAAATTAAATTATCCAAAATACCCATCTATTGACAAATAAATTAAATTAACAAAATAACATTCTTCTATAATTTTTTTTTTTTTTTTATAGAAATGATGGTGGTGGTAGATGGCAGTGATGATGGTGGTGGAGGTGGAAAGCAATAGTGGTGTAGGTGGTGGCGTTGGAAGGCGGCACGGTGGCGGCAATGGTGACAATGGAAAACAATGGTGGTGGCGTGCATGTGGCGGTGGTGGAAGGCAGTGGAGGCGGTAACGGCGGTGTGATGGTGGTGGAAGGTGGTGACAGTTATGGAGGTGATGATGGTGGTGGTGATGGAAGGCGGAGACAGTTGTGGAGGTGACGATGGTGGTGGTGGTGGTGGTCGTGGAAGGCAATGGAAGTGGCGGTGGTGGAAGTTGGTAGCGATGGTAGTAGAGGTGGATGTGGCATTGGTAGAAGGTGGTGGCGGTAGTGGTGAAGACGACGGCGATGGTGGAAGACAGTGATGGAGGCATGGTGTAGTGGTGGTGGAAGGTGGCGACAGTGGTCGCAAAGGCAGTGATAGTGGTGGTAGTGCTAGAAGGTGGTGGTGGTGGTGGTGGAGGTGGCGGTAATGGTAGAGGTGGTGACGATGATGGAAGACAGTGGTGGAGGTGTGGTGTGGTGGTGGTGGAAGACGGTGACAGTGGTAACGGTGATAGTGGTGGAAGGCCACAGTTGTAATGACCTAATCTGGTGGATCCAAATCGATGTCGGGTGGTGCAAACACAAGCCGGGTTCTTACCCAACCTAAGGTAAATTCAATGGCAAAATGGTCATTTCAAGGTAAAAGAAAGAAGTGGGTTAACTCTAAATGAGTCCAAGGAAGTCTAGCTAAGTCATTATAACCTTATAAACTCATTTCGTAAGATTCTAGATGCAAGAATAATGTTTTCACACAATTGACCCTTTTGGTTTAAAAGATTTCCAGAGCATTCCGCACTAAAATAGTCATAACTTCCTCTACAGTTTGAATTTTTAGATGAGGTTTGTACCATTAGAAAGCTAACTCAAAATCCTTGAAATTAGACTTAAATCTGATCCAATTTGAAAATAAAGGAGATATGACTATTTGAAGTCAAGTCAAGATTGCAAGTAAACTAAAAGTTTCAGTTGGCTGAAATTTGTGTCAGCCAGCTGAAACTTATGGATCAATCGGCTAGATGAAATGATGCTCCATGTCCCTAAGGTTCTGTCCAAGCCCAAATTACACTATCAGCCTGCTAGCTAATATCACTAGTTGACTGAAACACCCTGGGAGCTGAAAAATAGGCCATTTTCAAGGTGCAATGGCCATGAACTCCATTTATGTCAATCACATGGTTCCGAAATGATCCGAAACTTACCTAAAAGATGAAATACGCCAAATGAACATCATCTACATTGATAGATATAGATCCTTATCAAAATACACCATTTAGTCAAAATATAACCCTTTCTTCATCATTCATCATTACATTAAACAAAAGTGATTCCATTACCATCATATACATATCCAAAAATATACAAAACCATGTTTAAAAGAATAAGGTTGCATTGACAATGCGTTACAAAAACTTAATTTGATTACAAAGGATGTCAAAAACGATCTATCTAGCACTATCTAAGTCTGTGGAGGAATATCAGCCACCATTTCCTTTCTATGACCTGAAAAATATTAAATATAAGGTCAGCACAACAGCTCAGTAGAGATTGCCTAAGTGATATCTCCTCAAGAAAAGTAAACAATCATATGTTTTACACAACAAGGAATAGAGATGAGATAATGGGATCAAGCTAGGAATTTCACAACGCCATTAAAAACATCAAGGATCATTCACATCAATTTCAAGCAATGCAATGCATGGAATGCATTATGCAACCACATACCATACACACACCCTCGCATATCCACACACCCACACCGAAAATGTACTAGCTAGGGAGAATTTTGCTATCGTCCCTGACGAAAGGGTACCTCTCAACCGCCATTTGGGACCCGAGTCACTAAAATTTCTCACGGGTACCTCCCGTGTCCCTATTAACTAACTAGCACCACCGATAAAGGGGTACCTCCCCAATACCGGGTTTGAGAAAATTGTTCTAAAAAACTTCTCAAATTCACATTTCCACACACATCTGTACACACCCACCTCATGAGTACATGAAAATGCCATCAATGCTATGTGTATGGAAATACTTCATACATAACCTATTCACTACTTATCATACTTTGATAATCCAAAGGATAATTTAATGCTCACAACAAGCTTTAATTGATAGTCATAACATCACTTTAAGCATTAGAATAACATTTAGCATGTGAATAGTCAATATCATCACAATAATAACATAATGTAGTCATAAAATCCATTACATAGCAAGTTTGGTAGCATGTCATTTGAAAATTATATACAACTTTGCCTCATCGAGCAAATCGAAGCTCTCATCGAGCTCTCCAACTTTGCCTTCTATGGTCTAAACTTGAAGCATGTAAAGCTTTGGTTTGAAGAGAAAAAAAGTGATGTAGTGAGAGAGAGAATGAGACTTAGTATAGGAAAGAAAAGAATGACTCAAAAATCTGGTCATGTGGTCACCTTTAGTCAAGTGATGGCCATATGGGGCCTATATGCATGTAAAAGTAAAAAATGTACCTCCATAGATATATGTATACACAAACATGCACCAATGATAAAACTAATCACATAAACACATATATACACACCAAATAATAATTATGGAATGCAACGGATCCGAAAAATAATCTCGAGTACGAACACAGGACCTCTTGGCCCGAAAATCCGAAAAATGGTAAAAGGGACCAAAATACATTTCTAAAAGTCCTAGGCTTAAAGAAATGCCCCAAATGACTACCGGAACCCACGTGACACGAAAACCGATGCGCTAAAAAATAAAACAAAAAAAAAATGTCAAAAAATCCGGGATACTAAAGCAGTAGTGTAGACGGTGGTGATGGCAACAATAATGGTGGTTGTAATGGTGACGGTGATGGTGGCAATGACGGTGGTGGAAGGAAATGGAGGTGGCGGTGGTTGAGTGTGGTAGTGGTGGAAGTCGGTGGTGGTGGTGGCGGCAACGGTGGAGTTTGCGGTGGTGGAAGGCAGTGGAGAATGCGGCAGTGTAGTGATTGAAGGCGGCAATAATAGTGACGATGGTAGTAACGATGGTGGAAGACAATGGAGGTGGTGGTGGTGAAAGGAGGGGATGGTTGTGGTGGAAGCAGTGGTGGTGGTGGTGGCGGTGGTAGTGGAAGGCAATGGTGGTGGTGGTGATGGTTTTTGGATTAGGAACATGAAAGTTTTTTGGAAATTTGATTTTTTTTTTTAAATTTACTTGGGAATAGAAGGACCATTTTATAGGTTTAATTGTGGAATGGATTTTCCATTCCCACCTTAAATTTCATACCAAACAAAGAAATGGTTGAAATGAGCATTCCATCCCATTCCATTCTTGTATATCAAACGCATCATTAGATAACTTTGAGGAATTTGTGGAATAGAGAAAGACTAGTC